TTCCGTGGCACCAAATCAAATACATATTATAACCATAAACACTTGTTCAAATTCCTAAACATTTGTCTTAAGAATATATTAAAATAGCTGAAAAAATTAAGTCTAGTCTTAGCCTCCCTCAGAAGTATATTTCTTGCAATTATGGCTTTCCTGCCAGCAAATAATGTACTTTGCTTGAGAGATAATACTGTAAATTATATATAATAAGTTTATTTACGCCTTTCATTGACCCCATTCTTTGGGACAATAGGACTGCTATACCATGTGGCTTGACTTTGGGACAATAGGACTGCTAGCTGAATTGCTCTGCAACCGACCTTTAATACCCTCTTTCATTTCTTCTTCTTCTTTTCCAATCTCAAAATGAAAGAACAGGTGAGGTGAGATTGATAAGTGAAGAGATTCCAGCAATAAATTATGCAGAAAATTAAAAAATGGAACTTTGGCACATTTGTTAGATCCTCTCTAAAGATTTTTTACTGCATCAGCTCTAGACACTTACAAATTAAGTTTAAGAAATGTTCATCCTTCCAATCGCATTTATGGAGTCGGCCTTGCAAAATGATCATTCTTTAAAACTATTCTATTTTGATTATATCCTAGTTAGCTTTAACACAAACAAGGGCAATTTCTCTTGGTTTTTAGAATGACATGTACTAACTCCATTACCTTGAGAGGTAAGACACCGTGCGTTTCCACAAACAAATGTAATTGTCAACAAAGTCTAATCTCTATCTTGCGTCGCAAAACTTCTGTTGCATATTCGTCCAGTATGTCATCAGCTTCATAAGCCCCATCTCTCAAATTCATCAACCAATCCTTCACGTTCTCATTCTTCACTTGCATTGTCTCAGCCTCTTTAACTACAATTTGAATCTTCTCCAATATGTTTTGAAGCTTTCTTAGCTCTGCCTTGAAACCCCATGCTAGATTGATCTCATCGGCAACCAAGGAAAGCAACTTATCGATGATCCCCTCAGTGACAACAGTAGCCACAGCTTCGGCCATCTTAATTTCTAATTAATTATAATCTTCAAAAAATTAATTAATTGAAACCACCACTCCCCACCACTATAGTCTGTTTGCAACAAATGTAATGATCAATTAATCGCTTATTTGGTTGAATTGGGATCACCTGCCAACAACATCTGACACCGCACATCTTGCCATAAACCATGTATGAGATGTACGATGTCTGATGATGTTGGTAGGGTGTTGGAACTTATTCTTTTGGCTTTATTTGGTTGCCAGTTGAAATTAAGTAATATCGTTGTTGTTTTATTTCACATTTTACAACACACAACTTTCAACATTTCCGGTGGCTTTATACCATTTAGCTAATAGAATATTAGAATAAACGTCACTTTAAGGGGGTGTGATTTGGGCATAACACAATCCATTTTGACAAAAGAGGCTGATCCATTAGAGTTTTTTTTTTTCTTTTTTTGTAAGGGTCATTTATTAAAACTTGATGCAGTACGAGATTTAGACCAATTGAGTAAACATTTATAAAGTTGGTTTTGGAAGACCTATCTTAGCACATATAAGAGGAAAGTAATATTTGATATGGGAAACTATGTTTGGGCCATTTTAATAAAGCAACATCTACCAGTTGGACAATGTGAAAAGCTGACACAAAAAAATATTGGACTATACAAGATAGTTGAAGTCATCAATGAGAATGCTTATAGACAAAAGCTACCTAACCATATACGTATCCATGATGTTGTCAATGTCAAACACTTGGTACCATATGTTGGCAATCGATCAGATGATGATTTGAATCCAGTGACAGATTCTCCCCAACCTGGGGAGATGATGCAGTACAAGAGAAGGTTGATAAGTTCTATGAAAGTTTGGACCATTCCAATATACATAAGAAACAAATATTTATCGAGATAGCATCGTCATAGGATATCTATCTTAGTTCATTTTTACCAAGTTGGTGTCATCACAGAGTTTTTATCTTAGTTCATTTTTACCAAGTTAGCATTATTTCGAATTTATATTCAATTAGAACTTTCCCTTTGAAGGGTTTTAGTAGGATTCTATTTTGTAGTATTTTTTTAGATTAGCATTTTATTTTAATATGATTATATTATGGAGTGTTTTTAAATTAGGAATATGAGCCATAAGGGTGTATGCCAAAATAAAGAGTAGTTAAGGAAAGGGTGAGATAGTTTTTAATATTGAATTTTCTCTTAATTATTCAGTGAAGAATTATTTTTCTTGGTAGTTCGACTTCTGCTTTTTATTTTTTGAAGCTTTTCTCAACGTGTTTCATTTCTGTACTACGCCAAAAACCTACCTGTAGTTTGTTTTTAGATAAAAACACCCATATAATTTGCAACCTATTTACCTAATTGACCTTCCATTAAGAAAGGTTTGTGTTGCCATTTGAAAATGGTCAAATTGCCATCATGGTTTTGAAAACTGGATCAGATCGGATGGTCGAAGCAGTTGACTTGAGAAATTGGTCATGGCTTTGAGTCTAGCTTTGGACCAAAAAACTGTTTGATCAGGGCTTAGATCGGATGGTTGAACCGATTGGCCCAAGAATCGCTTCAGGTCCAATTTTGGACCCAAAAACCATTTGATTGGGGCTCAGATCAGATGGTTGATGGTTGGACCATTTGATCGATGAACCAATGGTCAAAGCGGTTCCATTTTCGTTCTGATTTTCAAAACCATGGTGGCCATCTAAACTAAGTGGAAAATGCTATGGTTGTTTATTCCAAAAATACTACTTCATATAAAAGACTTTTAGAAAGAAAACCCTAGCTTCCCCACAACAAAACTTGATTGGACAAAACTTTGAGTGTGTGATTGAAGAAGAGGTGTTAATCATGGTTATTTTTTACTTCATGTGATCCATGCTTGTAAGCTATAATTTAGCTTGCATCAGTTAGAATTGTAATTTCATAATGATGTATTTTCTTCATCTTTTTGTTATCTTATTGATGTGGTAAGAGCATTTGCATGTATTTTATTAGGGGCAAAAATGATGTTTTTATTTTTATTTTATTTTTATTAAATTTTATTGATATTATGAAATTGTTATTTTCAATTTATATTTAACATAAGGTTGATTAAGAAAATAAGTTGATAACAGTAAGGGAGTGTTTTACTAATAGATTTTAATAAATATGTGATACTATAGGGGTATATTAAAACTTTTAATAAATAGCCTGTTTTTAATAGAGTATGGATTCAGTCCTTAGTCCTTACAGAACAGAGCTGTTGTCACACTGTGTTCACAGCGTTTTAGAGTTATTCATTGAGAAAATCTCTGTATTTGTATATTTTTATTAATGAAGAGATATTCTCAATGCAGAACTACAAGTGGATGTAAATACAGTGTAAAGAAAGAGGACTGAATCCAAATTCTTCTTAACAACACTACCACATTAAAATAAGATATATATTTTTTAATCCACGGGGCTATAGTCATAGCCCCGCACATTAATTAATTAACAAGAAAATTGAAGGTATAATAATGTTCATGACGTTCGAATACGAGTCAAAGGATTATGTTATTGCAAGTTTGCAACCTACGAGTCCTTCCTTGCTTTGCTGGGTAATTTACATCCGTTTGGCTTTTGCCACGCTAGTAGCTGTCCCACTTTTTAGTTTGAACACGACAGCAACCAAGTTGTTTGTTTGGCAAAGACCAAAGATAAGAAGAAATTATTATCATCATTATAGAAAAATGCAAGAATCTTTGCTCCAAAAGGCGATAAAAGCCTTGGACCCTGTTGTTTGTTTGATAAAGTAGCGATTATTTGATCATAACGCTCTCATTTTAGTAACTACCAACTAGTGAGAGCCTTTAGCTCTATGCCTCTATCGATATTGTGGCTGTCCAAGTCCAACGTTAGCTCACTCTCTAACAGTAACAGCAAGCAAAGAGACTCGAAGATTTTCTATTTTTCAAGTCAAAGGAGTGACAAACACGTACAACATGATTAATCCAGGCTGTCCTAAACAGAAGAAGAGATTGTCTGATTCACCAGCTTCCAGCCCATTTTCTGAATTCCTAATCAGAGAGTGCCGGAATCTGCTCCTCACAGGGCGCCTTACAACGACCTCACAGGCACATACCCTGCATTGAGAATGTGCCTCCGAGGTCAGTGTGAGGCGCCATGTGTGAAGAGCAGATCCCGTCTCAATCAATCAGAAATCTCTCCCTGGGCTGTGGGTTTTCCAGATTTCTTTCAGGCTTCAAAGTTCGAAGTCGTGTATCTTTACGACGTTCACTCATAAATAATGCCATTTGTCCACTGTCAAGTAAAAAAATCTAGGTGGACCGTTTGGAAAACATTTCTCTAGGACGTCTGCCTACAAAAGTTTGCTTTTTCTCATTCTAATATATAAATCTTATTTCTAAAAGGAAAAAGCTTGGTTTTTTTTCAAATACTCCATAATGTTTTTCTTTTTTTAATTATTATTATTATTATTAGTGGATTTGATCCCGCGCCACCTTTGGAGGGACGCGGGACGCCGAGTGACGATTTCGACTACTGGGTCGTCTCGTCCCTCGTCGTCGCCACTCGGCTGTTTCCGAATTCGCAATGCGCGCCCCATTGACGCTTACAGCACATCCCAACCCTATGTTGTGAACATCTCCTCCATCTTCCAATGATAAATACGGGAGATATTCTCAATAATGTGTATGTGCTGCGCCTGTGGGCGCGCTCTGTAGAGCGCCAATGGAAACTTGCAGTTTTCATGTTTAAGATGGTAGCGTAGTAACGTACATTATCAGCGCCATAAAAAATAGTAATTTTGGTTTTGACACCAAAAACTATGGTAATTAGTTCAATTTTATATTTTTTCGGTCAGAAATCGGCATAATTGAATTGTATATGGAATTTTTTAGTAAATATATAGAAATTGGATAAATTCTGGAAAAATTGTTTCCTTATTTCGTATTTTTATTTTGGTAAATAGAAATTATTTTCCATTTTGCGCAATAAACTTTTAAGTCTCAAAATCTGAAATCAATCGGCGCCGGCGGGGCCCACTACCGTCTTCTCTCTGCATCTCTACGCTCTTTACATATCTCTCCCTATATTTTTGCGATTCCTGTTTTCTCTCTTCTTTCCTTTTCTTTCTGAATATTTTCCTCTGCAACTGAAACAGAGAGATTGAAAGTCGAAGAGGTTTCGGTTCCTTTTAGTGTTGAAAATTGAAATAGTCGATCCTACAGGACACTGTTAAAGCCTGCTCGTGAGGTGAGATTCTTGTGTCGTCGTCGCCCGTGACGGACTGGTCGAAGAAGATCAGAAGCACCGAAGGCATTCTTTTTCAAGAGTAATTTAGCTCTCTCGTCGCCAAACGTGCTGAATAAGGAATTAACTTCCCTCTGGTTGACAAACCCTAGGTTTGTATTGGCTTTGAAAACACCTTCTCATCAGGGACTTAATTGATCCATTTTCGTTTTTCTCTATATAATCAGGATCTTGAATCCGTGTGTTGAGTGTTTTCTATCCAGAACCTTCATTTATGGGAAAGTTTGGTCTTTTCATTCTTGTTAGCCGCATTGTCGTCTTGCCGGGAATAGTTTTATTCTTCAATTGTTTTAATAATTGAATATTTAAATTGATGTGCTATTCAAATTCTTATTATTCGGAAATGAATTGAAATGGAATGTTTATCGTTATATTGAAAGCTGAAGTTTTGAGCAATTTTGCAAGGAGTAGCCTTTTCGTTTTGACCGTTGCTAAAATCCATGCTATTTTAGAAGACTATACCCGCAAATTTTGGGGATCTTTCTTCTCTGTTGTCCCAATAATGATTTCGGTAGCTTGAGAGCTATGTTGGATACTATTTACATGTCTCTGCGATGTCTGTCCTGGTTTGAGTTTTGTGATTCAGCCTAGAATTCTTCAGAACAGGGTGGTAATTTATGCGAATTCCTTACATTGTTGAAGAATTATGCTTTCATGTTAAGAGCTGCCAAAGGTTTTTCCTTATACTTCTAGTGCATTCATGATACTATTTTAGGGAACACCTTGTTTGTTGATATTTTAGGTGATATTTATAAGTAGAACTTTGAATTTTAATTTCTCAGTCAGGATAAAATTTTAAGCCAGTTAAGAATGACTACCGTTCAAGTTTGGAGTGGTAGTTGAATGTTTTGATTTAGTTTTTTCATCTGAACTAGCCAAGTAGATATCATTATCAAGCGATCAAGGAAATTTACTGACGAGAAATAATAGATAAGATACACCCTATTTCTGCCCCATTTTTTCTGTGCATGCACTATACATTTTTCATTTCTAACAAGGTTAAATCTTGATTGAAGGACACCGGAATGATGGGAGGAGAGTTTATTTATTTTATGATTCCATTTTTTCGTGTGTGTGTGCTTTAACTTGCCTTTTCCTTTTGGAGGGCAGGGTTCTTCTCTTGTTTTATCTAGCTCACTCACCTGTTGGTGTTTTACATGGGACATGGCTAGGCTCCAGTTGGAGGCTAGTTGGAGCTAAATGTAGACAGCACCACAAATTACTAGGAGACTTTTTTCTGTAGGGATGCTTTGGAGATCCTGGTGCAATGCTAGAGTTCTCATCTAGGTGAAGTGGTCACTTGCACTAATTTGATTTCTATAATGCCTTTCTGCATTGTGACTGGTGAGATACTCATGGAGGTGTTTAATTCAAACCTGGTCAGTTCCAGATTTATTTATTTTTTATTTTTTTATGGGGGGCTGGTGGAATCTCTGAGTCTGCAACAAACAATATTAGATGGAGCAGATTGATTGTTAATTTGTAAGCTCACCTAGCCCACAAAGTTTTTTATCTAGAGAAAGAAAATTTTAGTCTCCTTTCAAGTATCAAATTAAGGAAAGTTCAAACTAGTAACACCAATGCAAGTGCTAATAATTGACCTCCTTAGATGGAGACCTTTTATTTAATTAATAATAAAGTAGTAACATCTTATATTTAGTATGGAAACCCAAGATTCCAGAAATATATTAGAAGTGCTATTCAATAAAACCCAGTCCATTATGCAAAAGCAAAACCATGGATCTTTTATCAGGGTTGCTAGATTGTACACCAAAGTGTCTGATCTAAGATAAGTTGAAGTGTCCTTTTTATGTTTGAGCAACAAGATAGTTGTTAAACACAAGATGACAAGAGTTAGATGTCCAGCTGACATACTCTATATTGCATCACATCATTCGACTATTTTTTTTTTTTGTATTGATCATGAAGTGCAGAAACCATAAAAAGAAGAGTTCCTATTTCTTGTGAGTGTATTGTTATGTCATCATTATCATCCATGCCTTATCCCAATTATATTATTAGTGCTTAAATAATTTCATATTACTTCTGCCTATGTCCTTCTTGTCTACCCCTAGCTCTTCTAGCCCCTTCCACTTGTAACAAATCACTTCTTCTAGCTGGAGCTGTTGGTGGTCTTCTATGCACATGACCAAACCATCTTAGCCTACTCTCTCTCATTTTATCACTTATTGGAGTTTCTTCTAGGCTTTTATGGATGGCTTCATTCCTGATCCTATCCTTTCTAATTTTCCACTCATCCATCTTAGCATTCACATTTCTGCCATACTCATTTCTTGAGTGTGTTTCTATGTATATTAAATATTTTCCTAAAATACTAGTACAACTTTAGTGATTTCTTATTATCCCATTGATTCAAAAATTTTAAATTACTTCACCACATTTCGTGACACTTATTTGATATATGTGGACTGAAATGCATATGAGTGTTGGGAGGTAGGACAACCCTGATAAAGTCAAAATTGGCTAACTTACCAGTGTATTTCCTATCTACCTTTAGGATACCAGTGAAAGTAGCAAACCAGCTAGAGAAGATCATGAGGGACTTCCTTTGGGAACCAGGAGACACCAAAAGAGACCACCTAGTGAAGTGGGAGGTGGTTTCTAGAAGTAGAGATGAAGGGGGACTAAGAATAGGAAATCTTAGGCTAAGAAATACAGCATTATTGGGGAAATGGTTGTGGAGATTGCCTTTGAAACAGGATAGACTTTGGCATAGAGTGATTATTAGCATTCATGGATTGGCAGACAATGGTTGGGATGCAGGAGTCGACCCAGGGGCTTCCTGGTGCTCTCCCTGGAAATCTATTCATGGTATTTTACCTTCATTCCTTCCTTATGTCAAATTTGATGCTTGTGCAGGAAATAAGGTCTTATTTTGGGAAGATGCTTGGGTTGGAGACACTCCCCTTAATGAAAGGTTCCCTTTTATTTATTCACTCTCTGAAAATAAAAGAAAAGTGATCTCTTCGGTCTTTACTGATAACTCTTGGGACTTGGATTTGAGGAGAGGCCTAAGGGAGTCGGAAATGACAATGGTGGATGAATTAATTAAACTTCTAGGGTCAACTTACCTAGATCAATCTTGTGTGGATAGTAGAATTTGGAAACCTTCCTCTTCTGATGTGTTCACTTGCTCTTCCTTTTTTGATATCCTCATTCAATCATCAAACCCTATAAGGAGCTCCTTCAAAGGAGATTTGGTGTCAGCCTGTACCCCCAAAAGTTCAGGCTTTTTGTTGGGAGGTGGTTATCCAAAAAATCAGTACTTAAGATTTGTTGCAAAGAAAAAGGCCAAATGTTTGCCAATCACCCCATGTTTGTAGCCTCTGCTTGGGATCTGGTGAGACGATCACACACCTATTGATTTCTTGTCCATTTGTATGCTTTATTTGGACTTGGTTCTCTTCTATCTTTGGTTGTAGGTGGACACCTCTCCCAGATGTGGCAAGCCTTTTTGACCCAAGCTTTTTCAGGC